ATTCTGATGAGGGGGCTGAAAGGACAGGTGGCTCCATCCCGGTAGAGGTGGGCCTGGGTTCCCGACGGCCCCCGACTGTTACTTTGTGGCAGAGCGGCAGGGCAGGTTGAGACCACCTAGGAGACAGGTGGGCCTGGCCCTGTTCGGCGTTCGCGGATACTTCACACGCTTAACGAGATCTTGGTATTTGATCTGAGTTGGCTACGAGCCTATACGCACTAACCATCTATGTGGGAGTAGTTATGGGTATCCCGACGTCGTGGTATCAGGCGAAGCCCTTCAGACGTCAGCGACGGAGCGGCGCGCGCCGGATTGGAACGTAAGCCTGCTCTTGTATTAAGGGGGCTAGTTCTGCTTTCGGCCGCGTACGCAACTTGCAGGTGTGCTATGGGCGATGGGCCCAGACCCCTGTGCGCTTAGGTTTAGACCGGCGTGCTGGCCTCTCTGTTGAGCCTAGGTGGGGCTGCGACGTGTTGATCTTCCGAGGCCGGGCATGACCCAGGAAAGTGTGTCCGGCCAAATGGGATCGAGCGTGTTGGGGAATGTGGTGCACCCCTGCAGGGAAGTTAATCTATTCGAATAGCCGTGATCTTCGGTAACAGGACGACTTGGAGTTGTACCTTGACCTTATGACAACTAGAACCGGATACTTAATAAAACACACCCTTCAAAGTTCCACAGACAACCCGGTGATCGCTTTTCCGCAGGGCGACGAGGAGAGGATCGCCGGGTAGGTTTATGCTATGCGATGCTACTTGGAGATGCTACTTGGAGATGCTACTTGGAGGACTTCAATCCACTCTCTTCTACATGCTGCAAGACGGAGGCTGCCAGAAGCGTAGTCTTCGACAGGATTAGCTATCCCCCTCTTATTCTGGCATTCTGCAGTTCAGTCCACCGATATGGCCTCCTTACACATATACCCATGCATATGTAGTGTAGTTCCTTGCTTGCGAGTACTTTGGATGAGTACTCACGGTTGCTTTCTTCCCCCTTTTTCCCCTTTCCTTTCTTTCTGGTTGTCGCAACCAGATGCTGGAGTCCAGGAGCCAGACGCCACCGTCGACGACGACCCCTACTACACCGGAGGTGCCTACTACTACGTGCTGCCCGCTGACGACGACCTGGAGTAGTTAGGAGGATTCCAGACAGGAGGCCTGCGCCTCTTTTGATCTGTATCCCAGTTTGTGTTAGCCATCTTATGGCAACTTGTTTAACTTATGTCTGTACTCAGATATTGTTGCTTCCGCTGACTCGTCTATGATCGAGCACTTGTATTCGAGCCCTCGAGGCCCCTGGCTTGTATTATGATGCTTGTATGACTTATTTATGTTTTAGAGTTATGTTGTGATATCTTCCCGTGAGTCCCTGATCTTGATCGTACACGTTTGTGTGCATGATTAGTGTACGATTGAATCGGGGGCGTCACACTTAACCATTATCTGGGGTAATTTAGATAACTTATGGTACTCATATACACATTCATAAATTGTTTAAGTGTGTTTCTAATCACACACAACCATGATCTTACCCGATAAATTGCTTAACTTATCAAAGTAGGAGCAAAATTCTCCTGAACAAAAGATAAACCCATTCGAATGGACAATGTCGTTGAACTCATTTCACGAGACTTTTCTGATTGCATTCAGTACCCTATGTACATACCCAGAATGGTTAACTAAATTTCTTATCAAACATAGTCAAATAAATTACATGAGCACTTTCAAAGAATTGTAAATTTACTAGCCTCTTGCTGGAAAAATACGGCCTTACACACTGTAAGTATGATCTAAATCATACCAACTGCATATTATACTACTTTCCCCTTATAGTAACTACGTGGAAATCAATAAAGTATTTCCCATCTGCGATAATTTGGTTACATACCGATATCACCACTCCAGCGTACATCAATGGGCACTCACAGACAATTAGGGATCTATGTGAGGAATAACAATTTATCCGTCAATCAAAATTATTCATAGCCCTTATGCTGATTGCATAAGCAATCAGGATATTTTCTGGCATTACGGGAGATAAGTACCACAAAGAATGCCGAGAAATAAATTATAAATGTTATTGACATTCAATCCTTATATCCACGTACTCAAAGAATCTGAACTAGAAGTTTAGAGAATCATATATTTGCAACACATTGTAAATTTGCCACAGACATTTACTGATGACAAGGTGTCACTAAATTCTATATTCCTGCAGTAAAGTGTCAGGAAGAGTGGAGGTACCTGACAAACCACTCTTCTCCTCAAATGAGAGCAAGAGGGGGAGAAAGTCTGACAACACGAGATATAACTTCTCATATGCTTCCGCGGAAACAGAGGAAATCAATTCCTCAACCAGTAAATGTAATTCAACATCAAGTTGAAAGACACCTCACTGGATGCTCATCATCCAAAGCCCGGCATAAATGTGCACAAATGTTTTGGTGCCGGGACATCGAAACACCTTGCCTCCATTTGTTGTAGAAAATCACAAGGAGTTAAAAGGAATAAATATATTATCCACAAACTTCAATGATTCCATCAGAATCAAATAAACTAAAGACTACATTTGTCGACATATATTTCTTCTCAAATTGCTAAACCTTTTGGGCCCCGAACCAAAATCCATGGTAGAGTGCCTCTTGCACTCATATTGGTTCACATAAAAGGAAGTAAGTAATGAAGAATAGCACTCGCTCTACAAATGAGTAGTATTTACCGCAGTAATACCTACTCCTCATAAGTATCTTCCATATGGAATACTAAAAACTTCTCATTCATAGATAAAGTCAATGAGGTGGTGAGAAAGCGAGGCTTGTAGCAAAAGGGTTCACGCAGAGACCCGACATCGATTATGATGTAACATACCCTCTTGATATGAGCGAAATTATGTTTCGATACTAAATATCATTGGCAATAAAAATAATAACAATAACCATGCAGTTGATGGATGAAGTGGCTACATACTCATATGAGTCTCTCATTTCGGAAATCTCTATTCAAGTCCCTGAAGGACTTATACTTCCGAATCCAAAAGAAAATCGCAACAATTTTTGTGTAAAACTTCATAAGTCACTTTATGACTTGAAATAGTCGGAAATCATATGGTACTACCGACTAAATGAGTTCCTTCTTCAAAAGGATTACTCGAATAATGCTAATTATTTACATGTTTAATGAAGGAACCCCAAATTTGATTTCCTTTCATCACCTCAGTGTATATTGATGACCTCATCATCAATGTCTATACAAGACCTAAACATACACATAATCATCTCAAGACGGGAAATTTGGATTCAACCAAATTTAGCTTAAGCTTACAACTTCAGCATTCTCTCAAGAATATATATCAGTCTACATATATCCAAGACATATATGAGAAGTTCAATGTGGATATATCAAACCAATAAAAGACATGTAATATGGTCATAGTACCCCTGATAGGGTACAAATCCATTCATACCTAGGGGTGATAATGAAGTGATATCAGGACCTGAAGTTCTATCTCACTAATGTCAAAGCACTCATATAACTGCAAAACTACGTCAGGCCGGACACTAAATTTGCTATCTTTGTTCAGAGTGCAACCCACAACAAAAGGTATATGGATGATATAAGAAATATTAGCTTATATCTCAAGCTCACAATAAAGCTTGGATATTTCCATCAGGAAATACAAGATATGACCATGATATGATATAATGATATTGGCTCTTTCTTTGATCCCAACAATGCCATATCAATGACTGAATTTGCGGGAATAGCCTTCATATGGAAGTCATCTAAGTGAGCATTAATGGCTATTTCTAGTTATCATTTTGACATAATTGCTTTATCTAAAAGCATTGCAAAATATGCATGGCTTAGCAGAATGATTAACCACATTCAAAATCATGTGGTTGAGATTCATCGGAATCACATAACTTGAGTTATCATGACGCTACCACTTGTGTTACTCAATACCTAAAGGTTATATGAAGAGCAATATCATAAAGCACATTGCTCGAAAATTACTTATCCTCGGAAATTATAGAAAGTGAGGAAACAATTTGCAAACAACATACTTTGAAAATCCTACAGATTATTAATAATGTCATGATCATATCAATGGAATTTGTATTACACATTCTCTAGGTTTGCAAAGTTCAGGGGGAGTAATTTCCCAAATCTATAACCTGTTAACAATCATAAGACTGCATATATTGTACTCTTTTTCCCTTCATGAGTTTTTCCCTAATGGTTTCTCATAAAAGGTTTTTAATGAGACAATAGAAGCACAAGTGTACATATATGCCATATCATTTCTCCTTATATTTTTCCCACTAGGTTTTAAAGGAGTTTTCAATGGTATATATAATCGCACTCTTTTTCCTTATGAGTTTTCTCTCAAAGTTTCTCATAATGGTTTTTAATGAGGCTATATCTTCTCAAAGAACATATGTCATATACTTTCTATTTTCCCTATAGGGGTTTTTAAAGGAAGTACTCAAGACATATTTATTGGTCTCTAAACTCACTTATGAGTTTTATCCTTCTCCGAAGGTTTTTCTCATATGGGTTATCAAGAGACATAATCATTATATGTTGCCTCATTTTCTCCTTATTTTTACCACTGGGTTTAAAGGAGTTTTAGCAACATATGTACACTATTCTCCTCATATTTTTTCCCACAGGGTTTTTGGAGGAGACTTTAAAGACTATACAAGGATTTCTCAAGATGAATGACGAATATACAAAAAGCCTTCAGTAATGGATTATTCAAGAAGAGGTGTTGTACAAAGGGGAGTGTTAGGAATAGATTTTATATGTTAGTTAATTAACACGGGTCAATTAATGAACCGTCATTAGTTGAATAGGTGTACAAGGCGCCTCTTCGGAGTATATATATATCTTGAGAATCAATGAAATCAGGAGCCTTTCCTTCATTCAATCACTTTTACATTCAACAAAGAGGAACGCCTCCCCTTCGCAGGACGCATCAGGCGGCGCAGCGCAGGCGCGATGGGGAAGAGCGAGCTGAAGGCCATGGCGAACCGGACGAAGGCCAAGGGGCTGCAGAAGCTGCGGTGGTACTGTCAGATGTGCGAGAAGCAGTGCCGCGACGAGAACGGCTTCAAGTGCCACTGCTCGTCGGAGTCGCACCAGCGGCAGATGGCCGTCTTCGGCCAGGCCCCCGACCGCGCCGTCGAGCGCTTCTCCGGCGAGTTCCTCGAGGCGTTCCTCGCCCTCCTCCGCCACGGCCACCGCGGCTCCCGCGTCGCCACCACCGTCGTCTACAACGAGCTCGTCGCGGACCGCCGCCACGTGCACATGAACTCCACGCGCTGGGCCACGCTCACCGACTTCGTCCAGTTCCTCGGGCGCCAGGGCCTCACCAAGGTCGAGCACACGCCCAAGGGCTGGTTCATCGCCTACATCGACAGGGAGCAAGCCACCAAGGCTGGGCTAAAGCGCAAGAGGGTCGAGTGTGAGGAGCTCGTGATTGCCCGGCAGATTGAGCGTGCCCAAAAATCCATGGCCAAGGACAATGGTGACCTTGGGAAAAGTGAGGATGAGTGTTCGGGATCAGGCGAGGCTGATCAAGAACGACAAGAACAACAACATGAGGATGCCAAAGAGATCAACAAGGCAACGGGGAAGGTTGCGATCGCACTCCGGCGCGCCGCTCCGGCAACGCCTGAGGTTAAGCCAGAGATGAAATTTGGCTTGGATGAAGAGGAGGAGGCGACCAACAACAAGGGGAGAGACGCAGGGAAAGCAAGGGACACGAGGAGGTCGGCCATTGATGATCTGATGGAGGAGGAGAAGGCCAAGGAGCGGAGCAACCGGAAGGACTACTGGCTGTGCCCCGGCATCGTGGTCAAGGTGATGAGCAGATCACTGGCCGAGAAGGGGCACCACTACTACAAGCACAAGGGGCTGGTGAGGAGGGTGATAGACAGGTACGTCGGCGAGATCGAGATGCTGGAGAGCAAGCATGTCGTCAGGGTGGACCAAGATGAGCTTGAGACCGTCGTCCCGCGGATCGGCGGGCTGGTGCGGATCGTCAATGGCGCTTACCGGGGGTCGAACGCGAGGCTGCTCTCGGTGGACACAGAGAGGTTCTCTGCCAGACTGCTGGTCGAGAAGGGCCTCTATGATGGGAGAATTCTCGAGGCCGTCGAGTATGAGGACATCTGTAAGGTTGCTTAAGACAATGTACTGTATGTAGTACTGCATACTTTGTTTCAGACAATGTAGTTTACAAAGGGTACCATACAAGGAAGCAAATTTCTGGTGGTAAAACAAGAATTTCAGTGTGTCCTGGTTGCAACCAACCCTCTGTGTGTTGGAATTACTTGGTCTTGACCTTCTCGCTTTGATGAACCGCCGTGCAGATCTTCTTCCAGCTCCTCGTGGCGATCAGCAACGGTATCACAATCCACGAACTGTTTGCGCCGATGAAATATGCCCAGAAGTAGAAGGGGCTGGCCCAGAAGTTGAAGCCGTCCAAGTAGGCGGTGGTGAAGTAGACGATGCATCCATAGAGCTGACCGAGGCACACAGCGAACTGGAGGATGTGGCTGTAGGACTTGCGCGATGCGATAGCATAGCTGCAACCAGTGAACTTTCGTCAGGATGAAATAGAGGCGTCGTTAAAATTAGAACAGCAGTGGAGTGAACTTCATATTAGCTACATCGGCTACGGACTTTTACTAGGCAAGAAGAAAATGAGTGTGCCATTTTTAGAAATAGGTGCAGGCTGAAAGTGCCAAGAGGAGCTTCTTCAGACCTCTGGAACAAGTTCAGTAGAAATACTGCTACTGCCTTGAATTGCTAAGCTTTGCGGTCAAGTCATTTTAAGTTGGGACAGGCCGAAAACACAACTGTTTATAAATCGTCTGCAGAGAACATCAAACTGCAAAATCATCAATTGGTTCTTACATTTTTTGACATTTTGTAAAATGCAAAACTAAGTCGATTGAGTTTAGATGTTGTACGGATGACTTTTGAAAGAATACTTGCCAGTAAGCACTCGAGTTTCTCTTAAAATATGCTATTTGGACTGTAATATACAGTCTAGATTCAGTCAAACGCTCCTACTAAATCATCATATGCTAGCTTATTTCAGGGCCAGAAAGCCTATGCACAAGAAAACACATGAAAACAGACACCATTCACTCATGAATTCTGCAATCTGTTGGCATTGCATGATATTTCCTGCCTCCTATATCAGGGAAATACAACACTAATTTTATTGAATACAGAAGGACTCAAATAATTGGCCAGAGAGGGAAATGGATACAGCAAGTCTCCCCAATTTTGATTTTGTCTTTTTGTTATAAAAAACTAATAATTCTTACTTGTGGGTCTGAGCGACACTGCAAATATATGCCCTGTTGAAGCATCTACCCGTGGCACGTCTCATCAAATTATAAACTTGCATGGTTTAACACAATCAAATTCTGAACTCCATTTTGCACGTCTCGTCAAATTATGAACCAATGCTAATTCAGAGAACAATGCTCTGTCATGGAGATGAGGGCCTGACATCTTAGTGAAAGGAAGGGGTTAATAATCAAGTCTGAAATATGAGTGAGGCGTAAGTATTAAGCTCATACCAGAACCATGCTTGATTGAACATAGCAAACAAGATCTAACTAAAGATTGACCAAGAAAGTCTGGAAATGCAGCCCACAAATCACCACAGGAGAAACAGAGCAAGCTTTTTCAGTGATCATAAACAAGATGAGAAGACGTACACTGCGAGCAGCGAGGCAGGGCCTTTCAGCACGGCCGTGATTCCTTCGACGGTGACGGTGGCGGTGTCCCTGGCGACGTACCTGGAGTCACCCTTGCTGTACTCCTTCCCTGGACAAGCACAACAGATCGAATCAAAAACTCCATCTTGACTGACTTGGATTTGGGGCTAAACCAACTACAGTAGCAATTGTGGCTGTTCTTGGGGGAAAGCAATGAAGAATCGGGCTGGAAATCGACTTACAGACTTCGTCGAAGAAGTTGGGGTTGGTCTTGGTGAAGAAATCGGGGGTAAAGACGAAGGGCCCCTCGATGAGTATGTGGGTGAGGCCGGTGAACGCCCACCAGCACATGAGCAGGCGGTCGATGCCGGATAACCTGCGGCATCTCCCTGCGCAGCGGAGGCGGAGGCGTGAGCTGACTGACGGCCGATGAGATCTCGATCGGGGTGGGATTGGGGAAGGTAGTGTTGTTACCGGAGAGGAGCCAGAGGGCGACGAGCACGAAGAGGGAGGTGCCGAGGTAGGCCCCGAGGATCTCGAGCTGGGTGAGGCGCAGCGGCACGTAGCCCGGGAGGTCCAGGCTCGCCGGCACGTAAGGGTGCGCGCCCATCGCCGCCGCCGCTGCCGTCTCGATCTGGGAGCCGGAGCTGGAGATGGAGATGGAGCAAATCAGCACTAGTCAACTCGACTGTACCGCTGTATGGATTGGATGGGTTGTGACTCTTGCGCCCATGGGGGCATGGGCCATTGGGATCATCGCCTTCTGATTGGAACAACTTAGAGGGGTGTTTGTTTTCAGGCATTTATTGGCCTAGGGACTTAAAAAAGTCCCTATAAATCCCATTTAAATTAAAGGGAAGGGATTTAGAGGGTGCTTGGATACGTTTTAGTCCCATGACTAAAAGTAGTGGGACTAAAACTTGCTAGCCTCATTCATGCTTGGATACAAATACTAAATAGACTAAAATCGAGTTAATGAGCATTTATTATCCTTCAAACCCTCCAATCCAGAACTCGCATGTGTTAAAGGAGAGGAGTTAAATGAGGAGAGAGAGGACTAATCCACATTTTAGTAGGGTTCCCTTGACTAAAACTTTTTAGTCTCAAGACTAGTTCTAGCCTCTCTTTAGTCAGGGGTGATTGGAACTTTAGCCTCTAAAAGAGACTAGTTTTAGTCAGACTAAAAATAGTCTCTTGGATCCAAGCATGCTCTAAGACTCTCAAGGAGGGACTTATAGTTGTAATATGGTCTTATAGGGACTTATAAGTTCCAGGAACCAAACAGGTACGGACTTTTTAGGGACTTGAGACTTATAAGTTGGGACTAAAAAAAGTCCTAAGACTTATGAACCAAACATGGCCTTAACCATCACGTGCGAGACGGACACAACCCAATCACCATCGTAACTTTTAGACCTCAATAAGTCTTGAACGTTCGAAATTTAAGTATGTCATCTCGAATGTTTTTTATGACAATTTTAATTGTTGTGATGTGGCAACTTTAGTTGTTAACACATGACAACTTTGTTCCCAACTCGACTTTTTGTCAGGAAATTTTCGTGTCTGTCAACATCGCCTTAACTAAAGTTGCCATGAAAATAGTTCAGATTAGTGTTTAAAAATCGAACATTCGGGATTTATCTATTCCGTATTTTTTCTTGCTGTAAGGACATCTCCATTCCTAAAAAAAAACAGATCTCATGAATATAGTTCTTTATATACTCTTATTTTGATTTATCTATTCCGTATTTTTTCTTGCCGTAAGGACATCTCCATTCCTCAAAAAAAAAAGCAGATCTCATGAATATAGTTCTTTATATGCTCTTATTTGCCAACTCCCGAAAGGGTTCTACAAAGATTGCATTACTTCGTATCCAAATTATTTTGGCAAGGAGATAGTGAAAAGTAAAAATACCGGCTAATCAAATAGAGGGTGGCCAAGACGGTCTAGGCATGCATGACCTTCAGGTTAAGAATGATACTTTACTCGGTAAATGGTTGTTTAAATTATTTATTGAGGACGGCGTTTGGCACACAATTCCCACTCATGGGGCTGGTCTAATGACGGTAAAGAAATATTTTTTCACTTTGGATCTTTCACGATAAAGGATGACTCGGAAATACGTTTCTGGGAGGACAAGTGTCTAGGTAACGCCAATCTCCGGGAACAATATCCAGCTCCGTACCACATGCATGGTCGCGGTAAGAAGGCTACTCTGGCGCAGGTGCTCAGCTCCTCCACTCTTGCAGGTGTTCAGTTTGCCCCCGTCTCTTGTCATGAAAAAAAAAAATCTTGTATCCAAATTGGGTTCGATCGCCACCTATTTCTTCAGACGTGGACACCGCTCGGGAAGCAGCGCGACTGAGCTCATGCAGGAGGTTGTGGAGCGGATCAGGTGCATTCAGATCACTGCATGGCAAGACGCGACGCATGCCTCATCTTTTGGAGATGCCTTTGTAGGCTGGTGGCAGAGAGTTTGTTCGTTGTTTTCTCATGTTTGGCATCGGAGCCTTTGGTCATGTAACGCTTTATTTTGTACTCTGTTTGTGTGGTTTGTTCGGAACTATGTTGGATGTTGTCTTTCGTGGGCTTTATTAATTTAAAACCGGACGCTTCTTGCGCCTTCGATCTAAAAAAAAAGATTGGGTTCGATTACCCTGACACAAGCACCGGTTGTCTTTCGCCGTAAAGTCACCACGATTGACTCTATGTTCCATGCACTTATTGAATGGAAATATGCCCTAGAGGCAATAATAAAGTTATTATTTATTTTCTTAATTCATGATAAATGTTTATTATTCATGCAAGAATTGTATTAACGATAACTTAGTACATGTGTGAATATATAGACAAAACATATAGTCCCTAGTATGCCTCTACTTGACTAGCTCGTTAATCAAAGATGGTTATGTTTCCTAACCACTAGTAAGTCTGCACGTGCAACGCACGTTATAATCTTAGGAAGAAAATTTCTCATTACCATCTTAATATATATGATTTCTGATCTTCCTTATATACTTCTAATTTTGAACAAATGATGGGCAGGAATTATGTTTCAAAAACATTTTGTAACACAAGACAATACAATGTGATAATCACACAGTCGTAAGGGGTAAAGAATGATTACCAGTATATCTACATCTCAGGACTAATAAGAAACAACCAAAATGTAGTCAAGATGGTCAACAAAGCTAACCTTCTTTTCCATTGAATCTTTGATATAATCACACCAATGCGAACCGATGACTTTGAGCTTTTCAAATGGACGCTTCTCCCTTAGTTCTTTATGTTAATTTAATACTTGAATTGTTGCCTTTGCTACCAGCACATAGGAGCTGTTTAGATACCGAAGACTGGGGGAGTAACATCCTTCTCGATATGATTGCCATACTTCATACTTGTCATAACTTTGACATGTAATAGTTGATAGCTTTGCGAATCTGAGTTTG